ACAGTTTCTGCTGTTGACGTCAGCTGCAGATGTGAATGAATGGCGGAAGAAAGTAGTTCCTCAAACAAAAGGACTTTTATACTCTTCGTGTTTGATTTTCTTTTTACGCGATTATGTAGCAGTGCAATATGGCTGTATAACGTCACTGGTGGGACACCGAGGCACTCAGTCTTCGGCCTCAAGTCAACGCATGATAAACAGTGCTGATACAGCCATATTGCACTGTTACGAGTCTGATATTGCTTGTGTGTTTCAGATACACATTCTTTTTTTAACATGCCCACAAGAAGGCTGGGCTTGTCATACAGATCAGCTAGACCAGGAAATCAAAGACATAAACCCTTCCCTAAATGGTATTAGAAGCAAACCTAAGGGGAAAAACACAAGCCGTGTCTCATTTTTAGAGGCTAAAGGGGTGTCCTTCGAAGTCCACACAAGCTGAAGTGAGCTTTTTGAAATGAGACGATCTAGCCAACAGAGGATAGATCTCATCACCAGGCAACCGTAACAGCTCCTGTTATTAAGCGCTGATAGAATTTGTAATGACTTTTTTTCAAAGTGAATTTAAAACTTATTTTAAGCGATCTCAAGATAAAACAAGGTGTACAGAAGCTGGACATTTTTTTGATCAATACATGTACACATAAAAATGTAAGATGTTTTTAAAATCACTTTTCAGTAAGATATTTCATACTCTTTTTGTTTTTAGCATGGGTTTAGTTATCCGAGTAAAATAAACCTAATTCTTTCATTTAAACCAAAGTTTTCTTTCAAAATCATCCTTCTGTTATCAGCACGTAATGAATCTTGGGATGTTTGAGGCCGCGAAGGATCCACAGGTTGTGTCTTTCATTCCCGGGAAACGAAGGACGCATTTTGAGGCTGCGTTTAAAGAAGCCTTAGAACTTTTTTGAAATGAGACAGCCTTCATCGCGACACAATGACAAGGCACACTTCAAATGCATCCTTTGGAGGATGAAGCCTCTGAAATAAGACACAGCTACAGTTTTTCCTCCAAACACTATTTTTTTTTTACTGTTTTTCAAATGTAAACGTGCTCGACTGATGTGTGTGACTGTTACGCTGTTGCCAGATAGCTTTAACATGCTTTGTTTTTTGCTACCGAGCAAACTGACCATGACAGAAAAGTTATAAACAGATAGATAAAATAGTTGTAAATAAATAAATAAATAGGTGAGGTAAAAATATTTGATATTTTGAAATTTTGATATTTTGACAAATCAAAAGCACCGTAAAGTTGTTTTGTGGTATTTATTTGATGTTGTGCAAATAATCCTTTATTTCGATAAATATGTCTGTAAATATAATTTAAAAAGTTGTTTGCGTCATACTGCCCCATAGTGTTCATTTTATCTATGAAATGCATTCAAATGTTTTATGCTTTTGCTGCTTGTACAAAAAACTTATTTAAAAGTAGTTGAAACAACAGAATTCTTAAGATTTTTTTGGAACAACTTAATTGTTTTATGTTCGATCCACTTTAATTTGTAAAAAACAATGACGTTAACCTTATCAAATTGTATTGGGACAACATTAAGAAATTGTGTGGAACCCAGCATTTTTTAAGTGTATGTTTTCGCGACTTCATACTTTTGTAGGCTAAAGCATGTATTTCTATTTAGCCAATGTTACTTTAATATGCATTGTGATCAATTGGAAAACAAGCCGATGAAAGAGACACATTGCTGTTTACATTATTATTTTAATCCATCTTGTTTGTCTACTTTAATCCTTTTTTTTTTTTTTTTTTTGATATCTTTGAAGAAAAGGTCTATGGGTGGGAGTATATACTTTATTGCTGTCTTATATTTCAATCTAATATGAAGAAATAGGTAAATACCAAAGTTAAAGTTATAAGTCGAAACTGAAGCAAGTTTACATGACACCAAAACATATGCAGTTACTAAAAACATTAACATCTTAAAGACATTTCATAGAGTTGTCTATATAATCCTGTGCTCACAGAGCTATGCTTTATAAAAAGCACTGTTACCCATGCCAGGCCAGTAGTGGTGTTTTGATTTCAGCTTTCCTTTAGGTTGTCATTCAAGTGCTTGTGCATGGTTAAAAAATACATAGTTCAAATGCATATGATATGACCATTAGCTTTCACATTTTAAATGACAAGTTCAAGTTACTTTACTGGCATGACAATTTGTACAGTATTACCAAAGCATTTTAGATATGTATAAGATATGTAATATACTAACCATCAAATTAATAAAATATACAGTAAATAGGAAATAAATGGCAAAAAAACAGATAATATATTTGATAATTATAACAATTTCAATGATAATAAAATTCTAAATTATTCAAATAAGATAAATTAATTTATATTAACTATTTCTTATGGTGTGTAGGGTGTATACATATTTTGTAGCTAGTTTAGGTGTCAATTCATCCTCTCCGAATACATGGTAAAGTCTTTTAGAGTCATTTAAAAAAAATAATGTTTCAAATTGGGGGAAACAAATTCTCTAGATGTGATGTGTTTGGGGCAGAACTGAAGGAAATGTGTCTTATTCTCTATTTGATTTTTGTTACACTGTTTCACTGATTCTCTGTTCTTTGGGAGTTCAGGAAAGTCCAATAAGGGCATGATTTTCAGGCCCCCAAAACTCTATTTTCATGCAAAGAAGTGTTGCATATAAATGAAAGCATACAATTTTAAAATGTTAGTTGAGGACTATGTTATGTAAACGCACCCTAAATCAGATTTACTTTAAATACCATGAATATACAAAAAAATATCATTTACAATTAGCTTCAACCTTAAATTTTTGATGTTTAGCGTAAAATACATACTTTTTCATATTTAGCTATTCTACTATGTGCTTTAATCAGTTTTATTAGTTTTTAAAATGTTTATATTAGTTTTATTTGTTTATTAAACTGTTCTATTTGATTCATAGCATTATTTCAAAGAATGAAAAAAATTATTAATAGTTCTATGTTTAAGAACTATTTTCTTTTAACAATAGCTAGATGTTAACTTTCAAACCAAAATATCAACGGCTTTAAAACTAGGCATGGGACGATAACTGGTTTTAAGTCAGGGTTTTAAAACCGTAAAATTTTCTGTTATACCCAAGCGGCAACCCTCGCTCTCTCTCGGGAAGCCCATACGGAAGTAACGGAAACTGCAATTCATCAAAATTCCGCTAGTCCTGGCAACATATAGAGCAAATTTCTATTGAGCCCACTGTTAGAATGGCCAACTTTACAAGAGAAAAAAGGGTGTTTACAGCCTGGTACAAAGAAAGATTTTGGTTCATATAGCTAATATTACCCTTCATGACAACTGTGAGGGGGGTGAATTTGTTTATACCATTAAACCGTTCCTACACTTTTAGAAATAAAGGTACGCAAGCTGTCACTGGGGATACAAAGATACAAATTTGTACCTAAAAGGTCCATTATAATACCTCAAGGGTACATATTAGCCCCTAAAAATACAGAAAGTGTTATTCTTAAAATATTAAGGTACTAATATATACTTTTGAGGTACCAATGTGAACCCTTTAAAAACAAATGTACACCTTTGAAAAGGTAAAACCCCAGTGACAGCTCGCGTATTTCTAAGAGTGTAAGTCATTTGTAAGTTGTTATTTTAATTAGTTTTTTTAGGGCAACAGTAGAATAAAACCCTCCACATAACAAGCTACTGGTCAGTCCATGACTCAGGAAATATATAAAAAACAATTCTCTTATAACAACATCCAACATGCTGTAGTGATGAATAGTGCAGTGACTTAACTTCATATCCAAAGAAAAGAAAGATATCCAAAGATGCCTTTTCAAGCTTAAAAAAAAATCTGTTTTTGAAACTAATGAAGTCAGCAAAATTCAATGACTAATTTTAATAATTTAGTGTGACATGTTACGGTTTCAAAATATTTTAAATATTAAAACAAATTATGTCATGTTTAATGGGGTTGTTGTTTTTTACCCAGAGTTTTAAACAGAACTTATTTCAGAGCAGTAATCACAAAACCGTGATACCGCAAAACCGAGATATTTTTACCCAAGTAAGTTATCATACTGTCAGAATCTTATACTGGCCCATGCCTATTTACAACATAAGTATATTTAAGAAACAAAATAAATTTGTTTTATGCAAGTTTTTATTGGCGGGACAGCATGCAATATTATGTAATAATCTCACCAAGAGGACTTTGGACTGAAAAGTCCAAATCATAAAAAAGTGGAAGTGCAAATTACAAAAAAAAAAAAAAAAAAAAAAACACATTTCAAACTTAGTACACATTCTTGGTTTAAATATGAACTTTCTTAAAATGTTTAGATTGAAATAAGTCAAAGGTATATTTTTACAGGTAAATTTGGTTGCTTTGCTTCTAAGATATTCACTTTAAATCAAAATCACAAGAAAGATAATAAACCTCATGACATAATGATTTCAAACATTCATCATTGAAGACAACAAGGTGAAGATGCCAAGAGTGTATAGTCACAATGTTTCTCCTATAAAGTTCAACCAGAAGTTGTCTGAAGACTGCAGATCTGTAAGGATGTTTACTCATTTTCAAGCAGTTTCAGTTTCAGCGAGAGTTAATGAGACAAACAGGAAAAACAATAGTTTATCCTCACACAAATGATTAGATCATTCAAGTGCCTTCCTTAGGGCCTATAGTATATGACAATGAAAAATGTGATATGAAAATCCAAGTCTTACCATAAACATCATGTCAGTATTGATCCACACACATCATAACTCAATGTTTATACAGACTCTGTAAGTTAGCATGCTAGTGTGCAACTGTAAACATCCAATATACCGCAATAAACAAGTCATTTATAGATCAACAGAGAATACTAAATCTATATCTGGTAAATTATTTTTATTTCCGCGTGCGTATCTCGAGTGTAGATAGATGACAGTCGTGTTTCACATTCAATCCTCACATCAGCAAACAGGCTAGCAGAAGAACTCCAGCGCTACATGTTAAATCTCTTACTGTCATATAATGGTCGCTTCTTGCCCTGTTCCCCACTGCTGCGTCAGGATCGCTCGTCGTAGCCCCTGGGTTTATTGCTCCATAACTGTCCTTTATGTGGTCACCCATGTATCCTGGGGTTGATTCTGTTTTTCTTTGGGACTGAAGTTTTTTTTTTTTGGAGGAAGTAAGATGGCCGCTGCTGGTGTGTTCGTCTGAACTCAGTGACGCAAACAGAGGTGTTAGAGGTCGATCACCATCAGGGGGCGCCATTGATCTGTCTTTTTTGTTTATAGTTTAGTTATTTATGTACATAAACAGCTCTGGGAATAAATAAATAAGTAAATAAATAAATAAATAAATAAATAAATAAATAAATACATTTGAAATGTGAAAAAGATTTGCCATTACCGTTTGAACGTTGTTTTGGTTATTTTAAATTAAACACTTGTGTTTTATTTTAAACTCTTCGTAATGTGTCTGCAGAATTTTAAAAAAACATCATACAGTTTATTTATTTATTAGCTGAAAATGCCAATAAGTATTAAAAAATAATTCTAAACAACATTTGTAGTACATATATATATATATATACTAGGGTTGTCGTGATACCATTAATAAATTTTACGATACAATACCAGCTGAAGTATCATGATACTAAGTAGTATTGCTATACTGTAATTCATAACTTAAATTATAAAGAAATATGTCAGAATATTTTATGTTATAATAGGCCTACTTGAGTTTAATTCATATATTCCCTAAGGCCAAAAAGTATTATTTGCACCCCACTTCAACCAAATTTTATTCATTCTTTTTGTTTATTTTGTAGACAACTGGCCAACAAAAAGTACATTCAAATAATGTTTTCAGATTATATCGAATAAAACTTGTTACAAAAGAGTGTTTTGTTAACAAATTAGGCTATATGATGCAAGTGGTCAAAACTAGTTTCAATGTTTTCTGTTGCTATTTTGGGGTTTTCATCTATTTTTATCAGTCTTATGAAGAAACAATCCAAAGCAATTCAAAACTTCACTTTGCGAGTCGTTCTTTTTAAACGATTGTTGCAGTTGTTGTAGCTATTAAATAATATTAACAGGAACAGAAATAAACTGATTCAGATGTGTGTTCAAACTGAGGAATCAGAAAACGTGCAATAGGCTACCATAAAAGAGTTCTACACAGTTTTGCAACCTTAAAGGCATCCACAGACTATTCACATAAAATGGTTTATTGTTGCACAAACGTGTGAAACTTTTAGGGACTTTTTCACAACATTGCAACATTATCCATAGTAGATAAACCATTAATGATGATACTTCCGTTTACAAACTACAGTGGCACCGCCAGATTTTTGGAGTCATAGTATCTTGATACTACCATAGCACCAGTAAACCGTGCAACCCTAATATATATACATATATATTAGAAACCCACGCAAAGGCAGGGAGAACATGCAAACTCCACACAGAAACGCCAACTGAGCAGAGGTTCGACCCAACGACCTTCTTGCTGTGAGGCGACAGCACTACCTACTGCGCCACTGCCTCATAGTTGTTTCTCCATCAGTTATGCGCATTAAAAATTTATGTTACACCTACCCTTGATAAACAATGTTTATTTCATGACTTTAATTTTATGCGTGTTACCATTCTGATGTTTAGTAGCTGTGTGATTGACACTGAGCACCTTCTATAAACTAATACACTTTTCTGCTAGAGAGAAAAGTTGTTTGTGATGAGCATTAGTTCATTATGTAACGTTCACATCACCACCTGCATATGGATGTGTTAACTGTCTATCTGTGTGTGTAACAAAAGATGTGTAGATGTTGGTAATTCAAAATACTGACAAAATGCCTCTATAAATTAATGAAATGCTGTATTTTACTGTAAAAATGAGAGATTACTTTTACAGTTTGTACCGTATTTTCAAAGGTGAAATACTGTTAACTACAGCTGCCTTTTTTTACTGTAAATTTTATGGATTTATTTTTTATATTGTATACATGTTTTTTTTTTCTCTAAACATGTTTATGAAACCTATTGCGGCCCCAGATTTACCCCATTAAACACATTTACAAAGACTAATAGACATATTAAACAAAGAATTCATTACAGAAATAGTTTATTTCAATCACGATAAAAATTGCAACATTTTTCTAAAAGAGTGGTGATATGAAACTCACCTTCTAAGCCAATGACTCTACAGTACAGTTAGTAAAGTTATCTACAATGAACATCTATAACTACATGCAAAGTCACACCAAACCTACGAATTCTAACACAACATTTAAAAAATACAAGGCATTTAAATATTCAGAAATACATTAATTCATTCACTGCATCTTAATTTTACAATAAATATAAAAATAAACCCTTTTATCAAGGTACAATTTCCACGATTGGCCCACAATATCACAATAAAAACACTTTTTATTTCTCCTCACGATATCTACTTATTCTTCTGAATTGGCCGCACATCCATAGGATTGTGTATGAATTCATAAAGCATCCTGGCATTGCTGCTGCTGCCCAAAATCTCACTGAGCGTCTCCTGGCTAAATGTCACAAGATCAGCGAGGCAGGAAACATGTTTTATCAGACTCTTGAAGTTCTTCACATTGACTCCAGGCATACGCAGCAGGAAGTCGTAAGGTCCAGGATTGTACAGATCTGCAGATTCGGTCACAGTCTCTGATTCTGCTGTAACTGCCTGAGCTGTGCTGGCGTCCGGCTCGGTACGGCCATGCTTGAGCTCCTGAAACAGCTCTGCCGTCACATACGGCGAAGGGCACCAGAGGAGCCTAAGGCGGGGGAAATGGAGGGTGAGAAGGGTCAGTTTGGAGGTGACATCGTTGGCTGAGATCTCCTGCCGAAAGTCACTGCGGGCCACCAGGGAGAATGGTTTAGCGGGGTCAAACTCGATGAGCAACACAGGACGGCGGTAGAATCGAGTCATGGAGAGGCACTGTGTGTAAAGGCGTCCGCTCTGTAAGGAGCCAATGAGGTCGCTGACGCTTTTGCGCTCTACGCAGATGTCAGACGTCAGTATGTAGTCGCCGACCTCTAAGGTGACAGGCTCGATGTCCAGACCACGTCGATGCAGAAGTGAAGGAAGTTCACTGCGAAACTCTCTCATGTCGACGATGATCCGATGAGGCTCTTTAACCTCTTCAAGTCCCCCTAATTGAAGTTAAAACAGTTTAAAAGAGTGATACAAACAGTTATAAGGTCAAAAAGTGAGAAGTGAGTGATAACAGAACACTGTGAGTAAAATCAGCCCTTGCATTTTGGGTTCAAGCCGCACACTACTACATGCTAATATCTAGTTACTTTTTAAGGTTGACACCCTGTGTGAAAGGAGAATTAGTTCAAGCCAAGCAGGCTTTTATTGTCATTTCAAGCATTTTCAGCATTTTTGGTTCAAGCGGCGCACTATTACATGCTAATTTCTAGTTACTTATTTAATACAGACGCAGTGTGAATTGAGAATTAGCTTAAGTTAAGTCAATTCAAAGTCAAAGCCAAGCCAAGCAGGCTGTCATTGTCATTCCAAGCATATACAGTTCATACACAGTGAAACTAAACAACATTCTTCCTGGACTAATGTGCTATATACAACATAGATATTATTTCATCTTTTATATCGCAATGTGCGAATCCGCAATAATCACGCCGCAGAATCTCCAATGATGAGTTAAGATTATAATTAACAAGGAAGCACAGAATGTGTGTTTTGTCGAGCATAACCCTGATTGAACAAAGACGAAAACAGTCAGCATTAATCACAAATAGTTGGCTTGTTTTCAAAGCCTTTGTAATTGTAATGTAACTGAGCTGACAAAAATTATGTTTAGGATTCCAATCTAAGTTAAATGTAAAATTCCTTGACATTTCCCTGACTTTCAAGTGTAAATTCAATGACCTATAATGAATAAAAAAACTAGCAGCTCTTGTGTTGCCCCAGAACTTTGTGATTCTGCACTTAAACACAATGAAAACAAAAACAGAATCCAAAAATGCAGAGGTGCTTGCATTTTATTTAATTGCTGCATATCAGTTGAAGTCAGAATTATTAGCCCCCTTGTTTATTTTTTTCCCTGATTTCTGTTTAACAGAGAGAAGATGTTTTTCAGCACATATGGCGATGCCCAAAACAAATCTCCTGTCAAGGACAATAAAGTTTTACTACTACTACTACTACATTTGTAAACAATAGTTTAAATAACTCATTTCTAATACTTAATTTATTTTAACTTTACCATGATGACAGTAAATAATATTTGACTAGATATTTATCAAGACACATCTATACAGCTTAAAGTGCCATTTAAAAGCTAAACTAGGGTAAATAGGCAAGTATTGTATAACGATAGTTGTTCAGTAGAAAAAATAAATAGATTAAAGTGACTAATAATTTCTACTTCTAAAATACTTCTAATGGGTTTTAAAAAATGTAAAACTGCATTTATTCTAGCTGAAATAAATCAAAAAAGACTTTCTATAGAAGAAAAAATATTATCAGATATATTTAGAAAATTTCCTTGATCTGTTAAACATCATTAAGGAAATATTTTAAAAAGAAAAAAAAAATCAAATGGGGCTTAATAATTGTGATTTTAACTGTAGATTTTCATCAGTCAAAATACTTTTCAAATTCCTGCTGCGCCATCTGCATTGCTTTATAATAAATGACATTCTAGTTGGATATAGGTAGAGCCCATCTGCACAGGGAAATGCAAGGAAAAAAACATTTGATAAATGGAAAGCAAAATTTAAAATAACAAACAAAATCGCAGATATCCCAATAACTTGGACAACAGAAATATAAAATTCCCTTTCAATGTCTTTAATAGACGGTTTAAAATTCTATGATCCGAAATTCCATCACTCGTAAAAAAAACCCTTTGTGTTAATATTTAGGCTGATTTGCTGAGGTTCACCTGCTTTGCGGGTGTTTGTGGCGGCACTAGCAGGTTCCTGACTGCGGACAAGATCTAGATTGGTGTCTTCTCTACCTTCTCTTTCTTCTGGCACAACCATGCTGGCCTTTTCCCTATTTAAAAGAGGAAAAACAACAGCTTTTAATAAGATGAACACCACTGAACATTCCACTGAATTTCTCAGCTAAATGAGATATATTTGACAAACCTTATGAGGTGCTCAAACGCTTGCTTTTCTTTGTTTAATGCTGTAAGATATCTCTGTTCTTCTGTTGAACCTCCATATATGAGAAAATACACACTAAAGCAGAAAAGAACGTGAGAAACTCAACAACAACAAAAAAACAGTATTTCTATAAGTGGTGGATATTGTTTTTTAGTTTTTATTTATATAAATAAGTTAATACTTATGTGAATTTCTAAATCAATACACTTTTTGTAAGAAATTAATACTTGTATTCCACAAAAAAAAAAAAAAAAAACTTTTCAAAGATTTTTCAAAGGATCATAAAAAAATACATGATGGTGTAAAGGCTTTAATTGCAAATATTTTCATTTGAAATTCTGAAGATTTTAGGATTTGACATTACAAGTAGTTTCTAAAACAAAACTGCACATTTTACTCAAAAGACTGATCTACAATTATAAGTGAATCACATCCAAAACAAAAGTTTGCATTTGTAAAATGTGTAAATAAATAAATTTACTGTGCAAATATTTACCTTTATATCAAAATTGTATATAAAAATTTGTAAATCATCTTGTTACACATGCATCTTTGTAATTAATTCTGCAATTAATTGTTCTGAATTTTACTAATTTTAAACTATTTTAACTTTGCTGTTAAATTGTGAAAATATTTACTTTTTGATAAGAAATTAGCATTTATAAGCCCTAATGTCTTCTTTCAACAACATTGTTTCAAAGATATTATTATTTTGCTAAACAACAAGTAACAAAGCCGAAATACACACCGGAGTGGTTTTCCAGGCCTGCATGCTTTATAAATCTCCAGCTGCCGCACAAAACTGAGTTCAGCATCGTACAAGACGACAAACATGGGGTCAACCTCATGCAGCACGCGGGTCAGACTGTAGGGGTCACTGCATCCCTTCAGTGGGTGAATGACAGTCAGTGGCTCTTTCAGAATACCATAATAATCATCAGATGATAGATCCAGAACAATCTCCTCTTCTTCCTCCTCTTCAATCAACCCTCCTTCATCTTCACTGTTCTCATTAAGGTCCTTATCAGCACTATCGTCCTGAGAGACTCTTGACAGTTTCTCCATCTTTGCCGGTTTCTTTGAGTTGGCTTTGGTTCTTTTCTGACGGCAGTTTTTTCCTTTGCTCCTAGCAGAGTCTTTCTTTTGCCAGCCTTTGTCAAGCTTCAGTAAATCAGGCTGAGGATCTTCTTTTCCAATAGTGCGTGAATAAAGGCGGTTCAGCAGGTGTTCTGGCCCTTTTTGGATGTATTCCTTCAGCTGAGCACAGGTTCTGTCATCACTGGCACATATCAACACTCGGCCTTTGTGTACAGACAACAAACTATAAAGATTAGTTTAACCAAAAACAGGGCTTCTGCAGGTTTCACCAAGTTAACTTTAAGACTTTTTAAAGCCACTTTTAAGACCATGCTAGGAATTTTTAAAAATGGCCTAATTGGAAAAGATTTTTATTTTCCCCTTCAAAAACATTATTATAATTTAATTAATTTAATAATACAAAAATCAATTAATAATACAAATTTTTAATATTTTAGATATTTCTTAGCAAAATACTTTTTCCCCAACACAAACCTTTAAAAAAAATTAACAAATGTTTTAAAAGTTTAAAAACTATAATAAAAATAGTTTTGATTTTGAGATTTAAGACATTTTATGACCCCACGAAAACCCTAAAAAATAAAAATGACGTTAAAAACTACTCACACTTAAGTCGATCCAAATACAAATGCAGATATTTTAGTTGAAATATTTTAGGTGAAACAACTTTGTTCATTGTTCATTCATGTAAATAAATACATTAACTAACATGAACCAATACAACCTGAACTTATAATTGTGTTACGAAACAATTATCTGTTTTTATTTACATTACTGAATGCATAAAGTAGCTAATTCACAAAAAGCATTTATCTGATTTAGCACTCTTTGTACTCTATTGAAAGCCAAACCACATAGAGATCATTATAACTGGTGTAAACAGGTATAAGTCTGGGGTTATTAGTAACCTCTAATATCTTTGGTTTTGTCCTCTTTTCATGAATTCCGCAGTTTGAACACCTGTTACTTAATGATCAACAAGTCACTAATGACATTAGCTTAAAACCACAGCCATGTCACCCTGCAGCGCAAGACCGGTTACTCACTGAAGCTAAGCAGGGCTGAGCCTGGTCAGTACCTGGATGTGAGACCACTAGGGAACACTAGGTTGCTGTTGGAAGTGGTGTTAGTGAGGCCAGCAGGGGGCGCTCAACCTGTGGTCTGTGTGAGCCCTAATGCCCCAGTAAAAGTGAAGGGGACACTACACTGTCAGTGGGCGCCGTCTTTCGGATGAGACGTTAAACCGAGGTCCTGACTCTCTGTGGTCATTAAAAATCCCATGGCACTTCTCGTGAAAGAGCAGGGGTGTAACCCCGGTGTCCTGGCCAAAGTCCCTCTATCAGCTTTTACGATCATGGCCTCCCAATCATCCCCTTCCACCAAATTGGCTCTATCACTGTCTCTCCACTCCACCAATAGCTGGTGTGTGGTGCACTGGCGCCGTTGTCCTGTGGCAGCCAAGTGGATGCTGCACACTGGTGGTGGTGTGGAGAGACCCCCCTCATGATTGTGAAGCGCTTTGGGTGTATGGCCATACACAATAAATGCGCTATATAAATACACATTACATTACATTACATTACATTACAAAATAAGTTCTGATGAAGAAGCCATGTCTCTTTTCAAAGAACATGTTTTAATTTAAAAAATCTGAATGAACTGGAAAAACTCTTTACTTTATTAACCAAAAGGCCTCTCTGATATCAGGCTTGTCTGTCTGTTTGTCTGATATTAAGTTATCAGGCTTGCCTTGTCTGTCAGTCTGACAATAAATTGTTTATTTTTAACTGAAATCTGTTTGAAGTTTTTGGACTGATTAATTGTTTTGGCTACATTTTGTTTGCTTATTGTTTTAAGAGTAAAATAAACACTACAAAATAGGAAGAAAAGAGTATTATGAATAGGGAAAAGAGTATTATGTAATCTTTGTAAAACTAATTTTGTAAAATTGGTATCGAAAAAAGGTATCCATCGAAAACCGTTATCGGATTCAAAGTATTTTGATACTCAGTATCAAAGATTTTTGAATGATACCCAGCCCTATACACCCCATAACACCCCATGCTGACATTAAGAAGAAGAAACTGTTTAATAAAGTTATTTATGTTTTAAGCGTGCACAAAAGTATTCTTTTAGTTTCATAATATTCTGATTGAACCACTGAAAACAGATGGATGTTTTTAAGAAGAATTTTTCTGGACTTTGAACAAGTCAGGACCGTTGCCATCTATGGAGGATACGGGAGCTCTCTGTTTACATACAAAATATTTTAATTTGTCTTCTGAAGATGAATGAAGGTCTCTGGGATTTGGATTGACATAAGAGTGAGTAATTACGAACACAATATACTGTTTATTTACTCATTAAAAGTAATCTTACTTCAGTACAACAATGGAGAAGATTTTTACTTGAAACTGTTGTCTTGGTGATTCATAAAATGAAAGTCAATGGCTAACGGCACTTTAACAGCACCACAGCATCGGCTAAAAATCTCTTTCAGAAGAAAAAAACCTTGGATGATCTGAGGATGAGTAAATAAACAGTGAATTTTCATTTTTAATACATTTTTACCTGGTTCGTGCTCAGATTTGCTGTTTTCTTTCTCAATCTCCTGTAGGACTTCTGTAAGTGCTTCCCACTTTGGATTCTTCTCAAGCACAAGCTCTCTTTTCGGAGGCGCTAGTTTTATACACAAATAAATATGAAGAAAATACCATGTACACGTTTAAAACTTAAAACACATTTGTAAACAGAGAAAAACATGAAACATATTGTACCTAGGTTTTGTTTCTGCTCAATCTCTCCAACTTTCAGTTTTTTCTTAGACTCCTGAATGCGATACACACGACTGCGAGCATTTACAAACATAGACATGCTTGAGTCCAGGAACAACCAACCTGATTTGAAAATAAAGAAATAAATCGGGTGACATTTTTGCTGTAAAATTATCTCAACTAAAGCAGCAGACGAGCGGACTGTACCTGAATTACTACCAAAACTTTTCTGGCTGGTTCTCAAAGACTCCAGCAGATTGAGGAAGGTGACACAGTCGTACTGAGTGAGGTAGAGAAGAAGGGTTCTTAAAATCTTCAGGTCCTGAACAAGAGATTTGGTCCTGGACCCCAGCTGATGCCACAGTGGGTCAAGGTAATGACGAATTGTCTAAGGATAGAATAATTATTAGTATGAAATTTTATAGTATTTCACAATCATCAAATATAAAAAAAAATCCCAATTAAATCAAGTATTTTTTCCTTCATGCAATTATTTTATTTGTCAATTTAAGGAAATTAATTAATTTTATTTAGATATAATTGTTCTATTCTATTTTTTTCTTTTAAACACAACCTGACCTGATCTAACTATAAAATGAATTAACAAACAAAACCAACAACAGGAATTACTGTAAAAATAAGATCGAATTGCATTATTGATTATTTTTTTATAAAAAAAAAGGAAAAATAAATATAATTTTTGGTCACACTTTACAATAAGGTTCATTAGTTGATTTACTAACATGAACTATATATGAACAATACTTGTACAGCATTAATTAATCATAATTCAACATTAACTAATGCATACATTCATGCTTGTTAACATTAATGCACCAAGAATTAACATTAACAATCAACTATCTTCATTAAGGAACGTTAACTAACATCAACAAATGCTGTATTAAATGTATTGTTCATTGCATATTTGTAAGTAAAGGCATTAACTAACATTAGCTAATACAACCTCATTGTAAAGTGTTACCAATTTTCCACTCTGTATTATATTATGAACAGAAATATAATTTACATGACTTCTCACTTTCTAAATGGATGTCCATTTATTTACTGTATTTATAATGTGTATTTATAACCCTTACTGCTAAAACATCATTAATGGTCATAATTGAAGTAACGTTATCAACATCTGAATATACTAAAATTAAACAAGGGAGGAAAATATAAACACACATACATACATACATACTGTACATATATACATATTTATATGTATAGTTTAGTGATATTGTGAATTATTCCACATGCAGTATTATCCATAGCATTGTGAATAAAAGGATTTCTCACTTTCTCAAAGGCAGTGCCCAGGCTGTTCTCCAAAGAAAGGTCTTCTGCTTCCAGTGTGGGGTTGTAGCGCTTCAGCTCTTTCAGGCAGGCATTCATGATGTCCAGAATGGAGCTCTGAATGGCTCTCATTGCTGGAGTCAGAGTCACGTGCAGCTCCACCACATCTGGCTTGTGTTTATCCAGCGTTGCGTTCACTGATGCTTGGAATCTAGCATTTAAAAACACATTTACAACTTGATTTACAATAGGGGGTGCACAAATAGTGAAATATGATCAGCAACATTTAATCAAAAAATAACAATATGTAGAACAATATATTCGAATTTCGTTAACTGTCACTCAGGGTTTGTACACATTTTTCCTACAAAAATGTGTACTATTCCATGACTTTTACAAAACTTTCGGGTAAAATTCATGATGCAATGTTTCATGCAATGTCTTTGTAATGTCATGCAATGTTACATTTTTTAAAATACATAATCTATGCCATTTATAATACAAAATAAAATAGTAACACTTTATAATAAGGTTCATTAGTTAATGCATTTACTAACATGAACTAATAATGAACAACACATGTACAGCATTTATTAATCATAATTGAACATTTACTAATGCATTATTAACATTCAAGTCCATGCTTGTTAACATTAGTTAATGCACCATGAGTTAACATGAACTAACAATGAACAACTGTATTTTCATTAACTAAAATTGATTAACATGAACAAATACAGTAGTAAATGTATTGTTCATTGTTTGTTCATGTTAGTAAATGCATTAATTAACATTAACTAATGAACCTTATTGTAAAGTGTGACCAATAAAATGTATGTTTACAAAATAGTTAGTTAAATATTAAGTAAGAGCATGTAATTGGCCACGGACAGAAAAGAAGTAAAGAGGCTGGGACAACTAACTCTACCCTTAGGCATAATTTATACACAAAAATAATAGAATAAAGAAAAAAAGTACTGAAAACAAATGATAGAATTAAAAGCCTTGTAGAATTTATACAATTTATATATTTATATACAATTTATATTCAAACATAAATATTAAACAAATTTGCATTACTTTTTCAAACCATTGTGGGTTCACTTGTTTTTCCAGCCCTAGAAAATGCCATCTCAAAATTACATGACTTCTTTATTTTTTTTTAGTTGTCAGTATACATAAAAAGTCTGTAAACTTAAACCTGCAAATATAAATATACGCGCCATGCTTACTGTATATGATAAGCTGCCAAACAAGGTCTGAAATGATTTTGATAAAAAAAAAAGTTAAATGTATTATAATTAGATGATCAAAAATAATGGGAAATTATTGTCTGCTATTGATAGCTATTGACAAAAATATATCTTAAAAGAGCTAATAATTTTTACCTTAAAAATGGATTTTAAAAAATTAAAAACTGATTTTATTCTAGCTGAAATAAAACAAACAATGTACTGAAATGTGGCCTTTCAGTCACAAATGCCTCTGCACATCAGCTTTTTTAAGCTTGTTTGACAGCTGTCGGCTTGTTTTAGACAGTTGTAATTCTATAAACAAAAATTTTGACACCATTATATGCCTACATTCATGCTGCATTACAACCATTTTTGTAAAGAAATCTTTGACAAAAAGTTTGCAACAAATGTTATATGATAATAAATAAATATATAATAGAATTACTACAGTTACAACTACTAAAATAATAAAACAACTTCCTATTACTTTAGTGATAAAATTAACATTATAATTTAAAATTTAACAATGCTTTTAAAATGTTAAAGAGCCCATATTATGGGTTTTTGAAAATTCCCCTCCATGTAGTGTGCAACACAGCTCTAAGTGAAGTGGAGTATCCAGCTAAGGCTTAAATCTGTTAGTGTACAGTGTTAAAAACGGTTGATTCATCTAAAAAAGAGTCGACTCATAGTGCTTCAAACGAGTCGCCTTGATACGGATTCATTAGGTGTTTCGCCATGACGTACGAACGAAACCAAGTTATTCACGTGCACGCGCAAACCCGGGAGATTTCAAACCTGAGGCCCCGCCCTCTGACGCAGAAACCGAGACACACACACACACACACACACCCACAAACACACACACACAAACATGCCGGTCGATTGAAGTCACACTGCAGATGGATATATTGAGTCTCTACCCAAAGATGAAACCTCAGCATTATAGCCAAGCAGTTGGAAACTACTGGAAACTTCTGGAAGCTACATGCTACAAAGAATACTTCATCAGCGTTTGTTAAAGGAAGGATCAGTAAAGAGTAACTTACTGATAGACATCAGGATGGGTTTCTTCCATTTCTCAAGTGTAAGTACGTGCGATTAAAGTTGCCTCGTTGACTCTAGCTTGCAAATGTATTTAGTTGTGATTTGTTACTTGTAACCGCGTGTACTGTATCAGGTTAACTGGCTATATTCTCTTATCGTGTGCAAAGTCACGTTAAAAACGCGACGCGTGCTGCGTTAACGGAGCTCCGTGGACGGGGAGTAACGTTAGTGTGTGTGTCTGTGTGTGCGTGCGCGCGCTGTCGTCCGGAGGTGTGTGTGTTTGTGTGTGTGTTTGTGTGTGTGTTTGTGTGTGTGTGTGTGTGTGTGTGTGTGTGTGTGTGTGTGTGTGTGTGCGCGCGCGCGTTGTCGTCCGGAGCAGGGTTAAGTGCGTATGTGTGTGTGTGTGTGTGTGTGTGTCTGTGAAAAGAGCAGAGTGAGAAGGAGATCTCCTCAACTGTTTTTGGAGTTTTTGTTCAATAAAATAGTCAGTCGTCTGTATTTTCAAGTCCATAGTCTGTATTTACATTGACCCACTGGCAGCTAAAATCCACGCCTACACTATCAAGCGTGTATGAACTGTGATTACTTTTATATTGCTGATTAGCTGTTTGGCATTTCATTCTCTGACTGAAGGCAGTCGACCAATCGCAACAGACTGTCATTGGTCCAATCAGCGCAGATTAGCTTCGCGCTAAGGAGGGGTTTGGGAACAAATGAATCCCTGAACGATTCATACAGGAGTCGCTGGGATAATTAGGTAAAAATAAATGCAGATTATAAGACCATGAAAGTGTTTTTTGACCTTGCATGCATATTAAACTGTTGTTGGAGACCCTTACAACCAAGATATGACCCTATTTCATGTATAATATGGGCTCTTTAAGAAGTCGTGATTATATTAAAAATTCATATGCTTTTATATATTTAAGTCATAGTTATAAAAAAATACATTCAAATAAAGTCCTAATCATGACATACTAAATCCTAATTGAGAGATAAAAGTAGAAATTAAAGACAAAAAGTCAATCATTAAAACATACAGTCAAATAAAGTCAGAATAATAAGGTAAAAATTAAAATTTATGACTTATGTTATTTAAAAAAAAAAAGATCAAAAAGCAAACAAAATATATATTTTTAAATCTTTTTCTAGGAAACCTTTGATAACAATCTAGCAACAAATGTTAACAAAACATTTATATATATTTAGTAATATTTGAAGGTGAACATTTTCTTGATTGAAGTTGTCCTACCTTGGCCAGAGAAAAAGTTTCTTCACAAACAAGTTTCTCATGACACGCTCGACTTTACAGAATCCTGAAGAGAAGGATGTGGCTTTATCTGTAAAGGCCTTGATGAAGCCGGTTTTGTTTTTCTGACGATAAAGTCTCAAAATGAAAGCCTCCTGACAAGACTCAATGATATTATGTGCCCGGTACACCAGGATTCCTGTTCAAGAACACAACAATTCACATTTCATCTCAGCTGTAATGAATACAGATGCATTTTAATATATGTTTTCTTTTCTCTGACCTGTTACTAGGTGAGCAGGGATTCTGTCAGTCAGGAAATCCACCACTAGGATTCGGCTAGTGACAAACAGCACTCCTCCTTTAGTGTACACGTTATATCTGTCAGCACTCTGCACATCACTGGTCACAGTTTGAGGAAGATGAGTGACTCCTTCAGCTCGCAGCCGCTCCGTCAAATACTCCTTCAGCAGAAACACGCACAAACACATTCAGTACCCGTACTGATTCACTGCAATCCATTCTGTAGTTTGACTGATCATCCTTTTGTATAATTCTAAAAATATCCATCTTCAAAAACTTGCGTTTTTGTTTATTTTTTTAACTGAGACTGAAAAGTAAATGTATCAGAGTAACATTTATAAAGTTAGATATATTTTATAGAGTGAAGCAACTTGGGATCGTTTTATTATTTAAAAGGCACCTATTTTACCACTTTTACAAGATGTAAGATAAGACTTTGGTGCCTCCAGAATGTGTCTGTAAAGGTTCAGCTCCAAATACCCATCTGATTATTTATTATATAATTAATCATAATTCATTTTATATTATATAAATAATCTGCCCATTTTGGTGTCTTGAGGACAATGTAGCTGTTTTTGTAGCCTGTGGCTTTAAATCCAAATGAGCTGCCCTCCACACCGACATGCGTGTTTGCTTCTCATGTGTTACATCAGATAGGATGAAGCTGAAATAAGAGCGCAAGTCAAAAATACAAAGTAATTTTATTTAATGTATTTGTAGTAAAGTATATTTAAGCCTTTCTAAAAACTATGAGTCACACACAAATGTCGTTGCCAGTACACACACACAGGAACGCGCACGCGTGCACATTTACTTGATTATACTGGTTAAGAAATACATAGTGATTTTACTCTTTTTATTACAACTGATCTACTGACCACAGAAACTTGTAACATGTTTTAATGCCAGTTTCTTTGCAAAAAAGGTTCTTTGGACATGTGTTTACGTGTTATTAGGGAGACATGGCACCTGTCAATTAATTTGGTGGGTAGGTAAAACCTCAAAATCACAGGGATTTGTAACCTATTTTAACATTAATAAACTAAAAAAAACAAAAAAACAGAGAGACTTATTGGGTTTATATCACAGTTCTGTCCAGACAGCTTACAAAAGTTGATTTTCATCAAAGATGCCCTTTAAAGATCAATTCATAACGTTTTGAGCAATTGTGTCATGCAGCTAATGTGTTGATTTAAGTATCAAAAATGATACATTAGGGTTGATCGAATTTGTATTTATGTGATTGTTGTATTGAAGCTATAAATCATAAAACTTAAGCTTTTGAATATCATTTAACAGATATTTGTTAATAGAGTGACAACTCTAAATTATACACCTTTTATGTAATACTCTGCTATATGAAACAATCATTGACCTTTTCAGTGTTTTTTGATAGATTTGTAAACATTTTGTTTAAAAGGTATGGTAATATTATTAATAAAAAATAAAACTAATTATTATTTTAGTGATAATATTAATATTAGTAATTCAACATTCAACAATGCTTTTAAAAAGACTTAAAACATAAAAAAATTATAAAAAAAATTGTCAAAACAATGACACATACTAAACCTTAATTATAAGATAAAAGTGAAAATTACAAGACAAAAAGTCATATAGTCAAGTTAAGTCATAATTAGGAGGTAAAACATCAAATATATGACTTCATATACAGTGGACAAGAAAGCTTAACGTGCCGCAAAAAATGCAATTAATTTTACATAATTACAAAAAAAACAGCAGAAAATGAAGAAAAGATCTTCATCTGTTTGATAGCAAACATGCTGCAAACCCTCAAAATGCATACACATTAATAAAAAAATAAATACATTTTAAAAAATAAATGAATCAGTGACAGACGCTGCCGTTATGACCATTGCTTAGTGAAGTTTTAGGTGATCTTTGAAAGGCGAGTTTTTTGTTTGTTTATTTTAACATCCTAATTCCCCTGTCTTTTGTACTGTATTAGCCTAAATAACCGTAACCTAAATAGTGGGTCTGTCATGTTTTAGTGTCCTCTTGAAACATTTACATTGTGTTCTGTATTTGAAAGTATTGTTCGAAAAAGCAGCGTTTTATTAACTTGCATTAAGAGAAAATGCAGCACATGGTTAAAAAGGATTTGAGGATTTGTAGCATGTGTGCTGTCAAACGGATGAAGATCTTTTCTCAATTTCCTGGCATTTTGTTCTCATTTTTTTTTGTAATTGCTTGTGTTTTTTTAAACTCCAGTGCATTAAGCTCTCTAAGTCACCGTAATTATATGAGGTTACAACAGAAAATATCAAAAGTAAATGTAAAATAATTGTAAAAAAAAAAAAACTATTAAAATAAATAACAATGAAGTAAAAATTACATGATTTTAATTTAATAATTTAATAATAATCAATAATCTTTAATTTAATATAATCAAATATAAACCCCCTACTAGATATATGATTATATATGATTTGCCACAAAAACCTAATCGTTTACTGCCTGTTTCAAATGTGATAAAAAACATGAAAACCACATGCAAAGTTTTTCGACATATCTGTATAAAGGTTTAATAATAAAAAATATTAACTAGAATTATTTCATTATTTTATAATTAGGCTCATCAGTATTACAAAATGCAATGCTTATTTTAATGCAATGCTTTTTTAAATTGCCTTTTAGCTTCTTTGCAGTTCCAATATGGCCGCATAAACAATAACTTCACTACATCAAAATGCTACACACGTAAGACATATTAAACTGTTTGGTTATGTTACTGTAGTAGCTCATGAAATGTGTCGGTTTCACCTGTTCAGGAGTGCTGGTGTTCAGCAAGAGCACCAAGCTGCCCTCCTCAGAATACACCTTCATGAAGTGCAGCAGAAGGCGGTCAATGCCGAGTCCTTCAGCCGTGATCAGCAGCCCGTCTGTGCTGAACACACTCAGAAACATCTCCGTCTCATACTCCAGCAGAGCACTCGCCATCTTCACCAGCACCGGCTGAAATAAAGTTAGGACATTCGTTCAGTGCCTACTTGTGACATACTCCCTATATCATTTACTATGGTACTTTGAATATTCGGTCTGAAATCACATGTATGACTCGAAAACAACATTAACACTGTTTATTTGACTGTGATCTGTTGTACTTTGATATTCATTGTCTGCTAATATGATTTCACTATGCTGAATTATCAATATTTTTTCTGATATTTTATTAGGAAGAAAGTCCGACAGTGTGAAAAAAAAAATCAACTATACCTCAATTCACCAACGACTGACCCAAATCATCCAGATCTCACCTACTGAAATGATACTTCATTGTGTTTAGTTTTCTTAATACATTCAGCTCATCATCACCATCTATTGGCTTTTAACAGGACGAGACGAGGAATAAACGTGCTGTTTAACTTATATCTAGCAGTTAGAGCACACAAACAGAACTAATGCATTACGAGGTAAAGACACAGTTTGTTACTTTAATTTCATTTTAATGTTACACAAGTTTGACATGTCTCCGGTTTGCAAAAAGAAAAAAAATCCTTGTTGTGTCACGTGACGTCGACGTGTTTTGTACATTGATTCATGTTAGCGCCATCTGCTGCACTGGAGTTTAAAAGGTCAAAGCACCACCACAATTACAGTTTCCCTAATATGGATAACCAGACAAACAAAACATGCATGCACGGATGGACGGATAGACGGATAGACAGATAGATAGATAGATAGATAGATAGATAGATAGATAGATAGATAGATAGATAGATAGATAGATAGATAGATAGATAGATAGATAGATAGATAGATAGATAGATAGATAGATAGATAGATAGATAGATAGATAGATAGATAGATAGATAGATAGACAGACAGACAGACAGACTCTGCATGTCGTTTTATTTATACTTAATTATTTTAAACTTGAATAAATTTATTTTATATTTATTTTTGTGCTTATTTTTCATTTGTTTATCTACTCATTTAATTATTTTCCATTAGTTTAGTCCTTTTATTCATCAGGGTTTGCCACTGCGAAATGAACTGCCAAATTATCCAGCATAGGTTTTACTAGGATGCCCTTCTAGTTGCAAACATACACTATGGCTAAATCATTTTATTCAATTCACCTATAGTGCATGTCTTTGGACTGTGCAGGGGAAACCGGAGCACACTTAAAAACCCACGCAAACACGGGGAGAACTTGCAAACTCCACAAAGAAATGGCAACTGATCTAGCTGGGGCTCGAACCAGCGACCTTCTTGTGGTGAGGTGACAGTGCTAACCACTGCACCACCGTGTCACCCCAATTGTTTACTATTGCATTTATTCATTTCCATATTCATATATTTTTGCTCAGAAATCAAAAGAAAGCAAAAAGAAATGAATACAAAATAAACATGGAAATAAAAAATGCAGTAACAAATGAATAAAGTTTAAAATAATAATATACAAATGAAAATACACGCAGAAAACAATAAATGAAAGAAAAATCTATCCATGAGATGGATAGACCCAAAGACAGACATTTAGAATTATTATGCAAGTTGGTCCTCCAACCCCCCATGGAAAAAAAACTGGGAATAAGATAATTCTAAATGAAGCAAGTCAAAATACCATGTTTTAGAAATTGCATTACATTTACCGTGAAGTGTGTGCTTCAAGAATGTGTGTTTGTAAACATGCAGATCAAACTTGTATGACGAGAGATAATTAATGTACTTATGGCTTCATGTTTTAAGTGTATTGCACTGTAAAATTAATTCAATAATCAGTTTCTTTGGCTAGGAGTAAAAGTTCATTGAACTTAATAGACACAGGTTATGTGCTCACGATTTGAGTGTATTAGACAACTTAAACTGAACACGTTTTCCTAACCTTGTACAGTAGATTTCAAGTTTCCAGGATGCTTTGTGTCAGACTGGAAAATAAATGTAAAAATGAACAACGCATGATTTAAAGTTTAGTGTTGAGATTTCTGTAAAAATACAATGACAAAACTACTAAATCACTGTAAAACACACTGTACACTGTACACTGTAAAAGCCATTAGTTACTTTACTTTGAAAAAGCGACTAAACCTGTTGCCTTAAAAACAACTAGTTGACTTTACTGTAAAATTAAACATGCGTAAGTGCGTAGACACTAAGAAAGGTTAAGTTGCCTTTTTTTGAAAAAAAAATATATATATATGCACACAACTTATTTAGTTAACAATTTTAAGGCAATGTCTTTACACACTTTTTTAAGTAAAGTCAGCTAATCACTTAAAAATCAATGTGTTTACTCACTTTTTGAAGGTAAATTCAGCAAATCCCTTTAAAAGTAATGAGTTTACTCACTTTTTTAATTAAAATGACTTAATTCAGTTAAGGCAATGAGTTCAGATAGATACAAAATTCAGATAGGTAAAAATTACTATTTATGGTTTACAGCCAATTAAAAGAAATTAAACTCTCTCCGGGAGAAAAATGTTATTGGAACAATTGTGATAAATACTTGTAAACTACTCCTTTAAAATAAGTAACAACTCAAAACACATTGCGATTTCAGATGTGATTCACTGTGAGATGCATTTCTACACAGCAGCCTTGAGAGAGCAGTAGAGCACTTCTGCTCAGAGCTCTGCTGAAAGGATGTTCATCACGGTTTAAGTGGGGCATGCTTCAAGATAAATAGGAAATGAGTGTAAAGAGCTATTGTGAGGGAACATAAGCTATACACGGTTGTTTTATAAAGAAAATAGAGTGAAAAATCGTAGATATCAACATAATTGGCAAGAAATATTCTGTAGCAATAACACAAAAATTAATAAAGATCAAATACAAATTGTCTATACCCTCCAAATCCAGTTTTTTGAGCATTTCTTTGAACACATTTATGATTGTTAAATGCATTGTTTGCTTTTTAAAATTAAGCCAGAAAAAAAGAGGATCAATGAAATAGAAGATAGCATATTAGGTACACCTTTCTAACTGCTCGTTAAAGCAAATTTCTAATCAGCCAATCACATGGCGGCAACTCAGTACATTTAGGCATGTAGACATGGACAAGATGATCTGCTGTAGTTCAATCCGAGCATCAGAATGGGGAAGAAAGGTGATTTAAGTGACGTGGCATGTTTGTTGGTGCCAGACGGACTGGTCTGAATATTTCAGAAACTGCTGATCTACTGGGATTTTCCCTCACAAACATCTCTAGGGTTTACAGAGAATGGTCTGAAAAAGAGAAAATATACAGTTCTGTGGATGCCTTGCTGATGCCAGAGGTCAGAGGAGATTAGCCAGACTGGTTCAAGCTGATAGAAAAGCAACAATAACGCAAATAACCACTTGTTAGAACCGAGGTATGCGAAAGAGCATCTCTGAATGCACAACACGTGGAATCTTGAGGCGAAAGGGCTACAGCAGCAGAAAACCACAACGGGTGTCACTCCTATCATTTAAGAACCGAAAACTGAGGCTACACTTTGCACAGACCCACCAAAATTGGACGACAGAAGATTGAAAAAATATTGCCTGGTCTGATGAGTCTCTATTTCTGCTGCGACATTCGAATAGTATAGGGTCAGAATTTGGTAAAACAAGATGAAAGCATGGATCCATCCTGCCTTGTATCAATCGTTTAGGATGGTGGTGGTGTAATGGTGTGGGGGATATTTTCTTGGAACGCTTTGGGCCCATTAGTACCAATTGAGCACTGTGTCATTGCCACAGCCTATCTGAATATTGTTGCTGACCATGTCCATCTCTTTATGAGTGTACCCATCTTCTGTTGGCTACTTTCAGCAGGATAAAGCACCATGTCATAAAGCGCAAATCATTTCAGACTGGTTTCTTAACCATGACAATGAGTTCACTGTACTCAAATGGTCTCCACAGTCCCCAGATCTCAACTTCAACATTAGGACGACCCCGATCAATGTTTCCTTTTTTTTTTTTTATGTTGGCTTGAGAAAGCCAACATACTGTAATGCTACTTAAACTTATTCTTATTATTATTATTATTATTCTTATTATTATTCCGGCTTCTGACCAAAAAAAAGCAATCGCTTCTCCTCCCAGGGCTTAGATGCTACAAGCCCCAAATTTGGTCAAAAGCTGTCTATTGCCCATGAGATGGTTGCTGTATGTCCTCATGCCGATAAGATTTGTAGTTTTTGAATTAAAAATTTTTTGAATTAAAAAATTGTAAATATTACAATCGAGTATTTGGGGCATATAAAAAAGTATACAATCCTCAAATTTGGCCAAAAGATGTGCTTTAAATTGAAGATAATTATCATATTTATTTGGTGTAATTATAAATAACAGTTTTCCTATAAATATTTTTTTTATATTAAATTTGTTAATTTCAAACCTAAAGCTTGTCAGAGTGTCCACGAGATGGCGCCAGAAGACTATTTTTGAGCCCTTTGGAATTGAGTTTACTGCACCTTTGTACCTTTTACAATTTCTTTCCATTCGGTCCGGTCGGACCTGAATGTCTTTATACCGTTGTAATCACGTGTAAATTCTAACAAAGACAATGTTTGCACTTTTTAAATCACATTATATTTATTGTGCAAAAATAAAACATCCAAACAGCATCATAACCAATAAAAACACACAGCAAAGAAAATGTATTTTAAAATAGTGAATATATATATATATATATACATACAATGTATGAAGATTTTTTATATCCCCTTAATATGCTCTGCTGTTGCTGCATCAATTTCTCTCTGTAACATCTGGATTGCAATTTACACTGCAACGTTCACAATGTATTATTATGGGGGGAAAATCCAAACAGTATTATAATGTTTTAAAGCAAAAATGTTAAGAACAATTATTTACAAACAGGTAAAATAAAGTGTGTGTGTATATACATATATATACATACAATTGAAGTCAGATTTATTAGCTCCCCTGTTTATTTTTTCCCCAATTTCTGTTTAATGGAGGGAAGATTGTTTCAGCACATTTCTAAGCATAATAGTTTTAATAACTAATTTCTAATAACTTCTTTATTTTATCTTTGCCATGATGACAGTAAATAATATTTGACTTGATATTTTTCAAGACACTTCTATACAGCTTAAAGTGACATTTAAAGGCTTAACTAGGTTAATAAGGTTAACTAGGCAAGTTAGGGTAATTAGGCAAGTTATTGTATAACGATGGTTTGTTCTGTAGATTATCAAAAAAAATTGCTTAAAGGGGCAAATAATTGTGTCCCAAAAATAGTTTTTAAATAATTAATAACTGCTTTTATTCTAGCCGAAATAAAACAAATAAGACTTTCTCAAGAAGAAAAATATTATCAGACATACAGTGAAAATTTCCTTGCTCTGTTAAACATCATTTGGGAAATATTTAAAAAAGGAAAAAAAATCAAAAGGGGGTTAATAATTCTGACTTCAACTGTATATATGTATGTATATATATACATACATATATACATATATACAT